ATTCCCACTGCTTTTCATTCCTGTCTGTGAACTTGTTAGCATCGGTATCGTTTTCTTTCCGGCAGGATTTCCTTTAGTTTTTCCTGTACTCTAAGTCAGAGAGAAACACCTTTTCTCCAGTTTTGTTTATCTGGAAAATTATTTATATCAACTCCATTTTCCAAGGATAGTTTTATTGGATAGTGAATTCTTAGGTGACAGTTCTCTTTGTTTTTTAGCACTTGGAATATGCTTCCACCACCATTGTTTCCAATGAGAAGTTAACTATTAATTTTATTATTGCCGTAATATGATGCATCATTTTTTCTCTTGCTACTTGCAAGATTATGTCTTTTCTTTGATTTTCAGTATTTGGACCTAATGTTGAGGTGTGGTTCTCTCTTTAAAAAAAAAGTTTTTATTGATTTTTTAGAGAGAGAGGAAGGAAGAGAGAGATAGAAACATTGATGTGAGAAACATCAATTGGCTGCCTCCTGCACGCCCCCTGTTGGGGAAAGGGACCTCTCAGTCCACTGGAGGACACTCAGTCCACTGAGCCACACCAGCCAGACAGAGGTGTGTTTCTCTTTATGCTTATGTTAGTTAGGTTCTTTCAGTTTCTTGACTGCCCTAGTCAGTTGGAGCTGTTATAGCAAGATAGCATTAGACTGGGTGGCTTATAAACAACAGAAATTTATTTCCCACTGTTCTAGAGACTGGGAAGTCCCAGATCAAGGTGCCAGCAGACCTGGTGCCTGGTGAAGACCTGCTTTATTGATGGTTATCTCTTTGCTATAACCTCACATGGTAGAAGGGAGGAGGGAGCTTTCTTAGGCCTGTTTTACAGGAACACATTCTAATTTTTTTCCACATAAATAAAACTGAGAGATTTTATTTCTATCCAGCTTACATGAGGTTCCACCCTCATGACCAAACCATTTCCCAAAGTCTCCACCTCTTATGTCATCACATGGAGCATTACATTCCAACATACGCATTTTGGGAGGACACAAACATTCAGACCACAGCACTGACTCTTTAAGTCAGTGTTATTCACTAACACCGGAGAATTTTCAACTAATTCAAATAATTTTTCTGTGTCTTTTCTCTTTCCTCTCCTTTGGGACTCCTATTGCATTTATATTTGAACATTGTTTGGCAGGTCTTTAAGACTCTGTTAGTTTTTCTTACCTCTGTTAGCTCTTTCTTTCATTTGGATAACTTTTATTGCTGTATCTTCAAATTCACAGTTTCTTTGTTCTGCCATCTCAGATCTGCTGGTAAAACCTATCTGGTGAATTTTCAATGTTAGCATTTGTCGTTTTCAAATCTAGAAATTCTATAAGATTCTTTTTATAATTTCCATTTCTCTGTTGAGATTTCCTTTCTGTTGACTCACTGTTAATAAACATTGTTTTAATTCTTTAAGGATATTTTCCTTTTCTTCCTTGAACAGAACCATAACAGCTTGGAGTCAGAATCTATTGACTTTTTTCTGGTCTCAGTTTTTTGTTTCTTTGTGTGTCTAGTAATTTTTAGTTGAAAAATGGATATTATAGTGACTCAGAATCCTGAGTTATTTTCCCAAAACAGGTTACTTGGTTGTTTCACTAACTTACCTGCGTTTGAATCGCAAAGATGGTCCCCTCCATAGTGTGTAGCCACTGAGATCACTGTGCAGTTTTTGTTTTTAGTATTTTACTTTGTATTTCAGTTTGGCTCTCTAAGGGTGTCCCTGTTTCTGCATTGTTTAATGGTCAGGCAATTATTTAGACAGAGGTTAGGCTCAGATACCTGGAACAAACAAACCTCCCACTTTCTATTGCCCCAACTGTTTGTAGTTGGAGGAACAAATTCAAATCTATAGCATGTCCTTGGGTCTCCTTTGGTGTCCACTTTCTGTTGCACTCTCAGGCCTCCCTGACTCCGGCATGTTTTAGCCATCAGTCGGGGATGCACGGGGAGTTTATTATCTCGGCACTTTCATGGCTGTCTAACTTCTAGGATTTCCCCCATGACCTTTCTGGGTGATCCCCTACCCACTCTGAACAGAAGTTCTAACTGTTAAGAGGTTGAGCCAATAAAGCTGTAGTTTTTCACTTCCTGCAGAACCAATTCCTTGACCTCTACCTTATAAAGCTGCAGGTTTTCATTTCCCCACCCTAGATCGGATCTGTCACCCAGCTGGCAAAGCTGCTGGTCTTCACTAACAGCCCTCAAAACAAGCTGACCATCCCCACAGGGAAAGCTGTGGTTCCCATCACCCAGGCTAAGGGATTGGAGGAGGCGTAGAAGCCCTAAGCCAGGAGACCACAGACTCATGACCATTCGGATGCAGTAACAGTTTTTCTCATGATTAAAGACTTCTCAATTTGTTGTGCCTTGGGTCATCTTCCAGTGTCCTGACATTGTCGGTTTTGACAACTTTGTCTAGTTTCATACTTGTTTCCTTCAGAAGGAAATTGCCCGACTTCTCACACCACCATTCCTGAAGTGACTCTTGGACTGGCTTATTTCAGTGTTTCTTCCACTCAAGTATTCTATTGCCCACAGCTTTTGATGTAGATGAGAAATGTGCTGGGGTTGGGAGGCTGGCGAAGACACGTGGAAGGAGAGCTGTGAATTTTGCATACGTTACCTCAAATGTACAAAAATAAATGAGGGAGCCAGTGAAGCTGAACCCAGAACTGGGGGTTTCAGAGCCAGGGCCTAGTCTCAGTGCAGCCCCAAGAGCTCTCTCTGAGGTTTTCTAACAAAAGTGTCTAAAAAGGACTCCCCTAGCCTCACCTAATACATCTCAGAGCGTCCCGTCTTCCCCCCTGGGCCTTCCTTCCCTCCGCCATGCTCAGAGATTCTGACTCTGTGAGAGTGAAAATGGCTGAAATTAACTTTCACTTCTGCTCAGACATCTGAAACCCAAGAGCAAGGTCATTTCCTTGTTCTTTTCTGAACAGTACAGGAATCATTTCTGGGTGTTTTTTTTCCGACCCCTGTCTGTTTGAGGTGGACAGAAAGATGAAGGTTTTTTTCCGGACCACACAAAGGCCATCTTACCCTGAACCTTCCCTCCCTGCAAACTCTCACATCCCCTCTCATTCTGACCTTAATTAAACAGATGAGCCAGAGGAAGAGGAAATCGGATTTTCTCCTCAGGAAGATAAATTTTCTGCTTCCCCTATATTCTCTGTATCCTCAGGTCCAAGTATATAAAAGTTGCCCAAAAGTCACTTATTTAGTCCCCACTGATAAAAACATTAGATATAATTAGGCAACATCACTGGATCCTTGTTCAGTAAAAAGTTTGACTTAGTTATCTGCCTCTAAGTGTTTGCAGGATTCTCAGTCACAAATCATGTTCAAAGCCATCCCCTTGGTAACTTCCCCCAATAATCCCTGATGGAGTTATTGCCCCGCCTCTGTTCTAATACTGTGCCTTGTGGAGGCATCCATAGCTGCACTTACCATACCCCATTATAATTAACTGCTGGACCCTCTTCTCAGACTCTTTAGGCTGAGTCCTTCAGGGAAGGGCATGCCTATTTATATCTCCACCCCTAGCTCTAATGTGTGCTTATCACAGAGTAGACATTCACAAAACTTTGTTGTGCTTATTGACTTAAAATAACAGGACTGAATAATCTCATCTCAAATCAGTAAGTTTTTTAATTATAAGTTTAAGCAGGTCTATATTCTCTCAGCTTGTATTTAACGCTTAGATCCAACTCTCAGGTGTCAGGAGGTGAATATAATACTAAATTAATAGTAGCTGTGATTCACTGAGCACAGCCGGATCTGGGCACTGTTCTGGGCCCTTTGCTACCCAGGACAGAGGACAAAGCAGTTTTAAAGAGCAGATTTGGGACTTTGGTTAGGCATATTTACATCAGCTACCAGTCCTCTGGAGTTAACTGAAGTGTAAATATCATAATAGATACTTGTTATGCAAAAACCTTTTGGGTAAATGAAGCAGATTGTTTCCAAAGAGTCTTAGAACCCAAGAACTCTATGTTGCTATAAATATCTGTCAAAAATCTCTTTTCTACCAGGAACTCAGAGCAAAGTATTGTCTGAGTCCTGAAATCCAAGGGAAAAAAACTCGACGAGGAAACTGAGATTGTGGACTGTTGTCCCAGGTTAAGGGTCAAAGCGGGTCTATCTGAATTCAATTCCCCCTGAAGGTTCCCAGACATGACAGGAGAGGAGTCCACCAATTAGCTCCCTTTGGTCCATGGATCAGAAAGCAGGTGACCCCAAAAAAAGTTAAATTAAATTATTTAAAAAAGGAAAGAAAGCAGGTGACCAGTGGCTCACCTGTCTGGCAGGACCAGCAAGTCTCCTGAGGTCATCCCAGCAAGCTTCTTGGTCCCGTCGGTCCCTCGGCTGGTAGAGTCCTGGACAGCACCTCGTCACTCTGGATGTTAAGTTCCTTTCCCCATTGCCTCCATCATTCTCTGCTCCTTTGAATTTCATAGCCAAAAAGGTAGCACATTGAAGAGGCTCTGAGAGCAGAATCAACAACTGGCTATAAACACCGAAACAGCAGAGAAGTAGCATTTATTGAGATCCAATTCTGTGCCCCTCTCTCACACCCATCCTATCATTTCTGCTCAGTGTCTCACAGGCCAGCTGTTATCAACAGTATTTGGAAAACCAAACTAAACCAGTAAGGCTGAGAGAACAGTGGCCCTGGCTCCTACCGATGGTACCAGGCTGCAGATCCCAAGCTCTTTCTTGTCTTGCAGACAAATGCTGCAAAGCAGAGCAAAATACCTGATTGAGTTAGCTAGAAGGTTTATTAACCCTGCTAGGCTCATGAAGGAAAAACACCACCCAAATTGGTAAACCAAAACCCCATGAGAAAACTTTCCGGGGGCACAGCGGCATTGTGACCAATGTGGCCCAGGGCCAGAGAAAGACCACCTGCTCCTGGTCCTTCCTCATGGGCTGTTCTCGGGCAGTGGCAACCATTGGACCCAGTGAGCCCATCAAAGCTTTCAAAGTGCTCAGGAGGGGCGGGGCTCCTTGGGGGTGGCTGGTACAGCTCTGACCACAGACCTGAGAGCCTGCCACCTCTGCCTGGTGCTTGCTGTGGGCAGGAAGCCACGAGCTACGTGGACTAACGGAGACCGCTGAGATGGGCTTTTCCTTTAGGATTGCATCAGGTGTTGCTGGTTATAGTTAGAAGGCCACTGCACCACAAGGATGCTGGGATTTGAAGAGCTATGGTGAAAAGCCACTGAGCGTTACCAAGGTAAGACTCTGCGTCTTCCGCCTTCTAGAGCATCTCATTTCCTTAAACTGTGCAAACAGTGCCCTGAGGCCCGGGGTTGGGAAAGTGGCAGAAACATTGCTATGGATATAATAGGCAGAGGGAGAAGACATCAACATGATCTGAGCCACAGCAACAAATAGACTGTCTAGTGTTGGTTTGTTTTAATTTTAGAGAGTTTTGTGATTTATAAAAGTTCATCCACCCAGGGTAGACTCTGCTTCTTGGGCTTTTGAAGCTAGACAAGGCAGTGACTATGCTATAGAGGAAAAACAGACAAGGCTGTGGGCACACATATGCCAGTTGTGGGGGCTTCAAGCAAGTTACTCAGCCTCTCTAACAGAGGGTAATGCTATGTACAGGGCAGAGCTGATGGAGGCTAGCAGCGGTGTATGGGGAGTGTCTGGCTCAAGGTAAATAAATGATTGGTTGTCACTTTTGTTTTATTTTGCTTGTTTTTGAAAAAGGTTTTTCGTTTTTTAGTCATTGCGGGTGGGGTGATGAAACAGGTTTAATGATGAATTTTTTGGCCAAGAGATCTCTTTGGCCAACTGCAGAAAGGCAAGAACAGTTGATAACATACTTTGAGAGGGTTTTTTAAAGGCCTAGAGTTTAGACAACTTTTCCAGTCGTTTTTCTAACTGGCCACTGCTTTCACCTTCCCTGTCTACATTACCAAGGAACTAAAGAATTGCTATCATTGTGTTTCCATAGTTAGAGAGAAAATACGTATATGTAGATGCTCCTCTTTGCCTGATAGGAGCTGGAGTTCCCTCACCTTGAGTGAGGACAGGACGTGGAGATGGAAGGAAAAAACTCTGTAGTGGCAAATCCTGACAGACACCACTGTAGGCAGGTGATCAAGGTTAACGTCTTGGCCTTGCCTGTGTGGCTCACTGGTTGAGCATCGACCCATGCACCAAGAGACCGCTGGTTCGATTCCCAGTCAGGACACATGACCAAGTTGTGGGCCAAATCCCCAGTGCGGGGCATGCAGGAGGCAGCCATCAATATTCTCTCTCATCTATGTTTCTATCTCTCTCTTCCTCTCCTTTCCTCTGGCTCTAAAATCAATAAAGAAGAAAAACAATTCATGTCTTGAGGGCAGTCATGTATTATATACCTTCTGCTATGATATTAGGAGAAAATATTTTACCTCTGTTTATTCTTTCCCTAAATGCATAACCGCAGTCTAGTCATGAAAAAACATCAGACAAACCCAAACTGAGGGACAGCCTACAGACTATTTGACCTTCAAATTTGTCAAGGTCAAGAAGAATTAGGAAAGATGGGGAAACTGTCACACATCAGAGGAGAGTAAGGACACAGGACAAGTAAATCCAGAATTCGCCTCCTGAATGGGACTGAATCCTGGAACAACAACAACAAAAAGTCTTTAGTAAAAAATAGGTGAAATCTAAATAAAATCTAATATTTAATCTATTTATTTGAAATGTATCTTTATTGTTGAATATATCACAGATGTCCCCCATTTTTCCCCCATTGACCCCTCTTCCCTGCTTTCATTCCCCTCCTGCTTTCCCCACACTATTGTCTGTGTCCATTGGTTATGCATGTAAGTTCTTTGGTTTATCTCTTCCCGCCCCCACCCCCCTTCTCTTTGAAGTTTGTCAGTCTCACAACCCATTTGTACTTGTTAATCCCTTCACCTTTTTCACACATTCCCCCAACCCCCCTCCCATCTGGCAACCAACAAAAAAGTTCTCTGTATTTATGAGTCTGTTTCTGTTCTGCTTGTTCATTTTGTTTGTAGATTTAATTGTTGATAGATATATATTTATTGCCATTTATTGTTCATATTTTTTTATCTTCTTCAAGAAGACACTTCAACATTTCATATAATACTGGCTTGGCAGTGACGAACTTCTCTAGTTTGTTCTTGTCTGGGAAATTCTTTATATGTCCATTGATTCTAGATAGCTTTGCAGGATACAGTAATCTTGGTTGTAGGTTCTTGCTTTTCATCACTTTGAATATTTCTTGCCACTCCCTCCTAGCCTGCAAAGTTTCTTTTGAGAAATTGGCTGACAGCCTTATAGGAGCTCCATTGTAGGTAACTAATTGCTTTTCTCTTGCTGCTTTTAAGATTGTCTTAAACCTTTTGCATTTTGATTATGATGTGTCTTGGTGTGGGCCTCTTTGGGTTCATCTTCTCTGTGCTTCCTGGACTTGTATGTCTGTTTCCTTCACCAAGTTAGGGAATTTTTCTGTCATTATTTTTTCAAATAGGTTTTCAATATTTTGCTCTCTCTCTTCTCCTTCTGGTATCCCCAAGATGCAAATGTTGGTCTTGAAGTTGTTCCAGAGACGCGTTACACTATCTTCATTTTTTTTTTTAATTCTTTTTTCATTTTGCTGTATTGATTGGGTGTTTTTTGCTTCCTTATATTACAAATCAATGTTTTGCTTCTTGACTTTTTATACTCTACTGTTGATTCCATGTAAATTATTCTTTATTTTAGTTAGTGCATCTTTCATTTCTGGCTGGTCCTTTTTTATGCTCTTGAGGTCCTTACTACTAAGTAAGCATCCTTAAAACCAGTGTCTTGAACTCTGCATTTGTTAGATTGCTTATCTCCATTTTGTTTAGTTCTTGTCCTGCAATTTTGTTCTGTTCTTTCATTTAGGACATGTTTCTTTGTCTCCTCATTTTGGCTGCCTCCCTGTGTTTGTTTCTATGTATTAGGTAGAGTTGCTATGTCTCCTGATCTTCCTAGGATGGTCTATTATAGTAGGTATCCTATAGGGTCCAGTGGCACAGCCTCCCTGATCACCCCACATGGGCCCTCAAGATGCACCCTTCTTGTGGACTATATACTCTTCTGTTGTAATTGAGTCTTGATTGCTGTTGGCACATCAATGGGATTTACTCAAGCTGATCGGCTGCCTGGATTGACTATGCCCATTGACCACTGACCTCTGACTACCTTGGGGGATCAGCTGTGCAGGGGCCCAACACACAGAGCAAGACTTACCTCAGCAGGGTTCTTGTACCCACTGAGTCTATTCCTTGAGTGTGTCACTTGTGGAGGTGGTTGGGTGATGGTGCTTCAGTGTGGTCTGAAGCTGTCCACTCGGTGTGCTGGCTCTGGGGCAATATCAGCCACTGCTTGTGTTCTACCTGGGGCTACCAGGCATAAGCTACAAAGTGATCTGCTGATTGCTGCTTTTTGTGCTGGGTTTGGAGGTGCCCAGGCAAAGCCAAGCTGTGAACCAAGGCTGGTTGCTTCTAGTGCCAGGCCTGGGGCTACTTAGCAAGAGGTATGGGACTTACTGAGACCAGATGCTGCTTGATAGAATTTAGGAAAATTTGAAGCAGGAGTCCAGGCAGGCCAATGCTATGGTAAAGCCACTGGAAACCACTTGGGTGGGCCTTAAAGTTGGGTGGGGCGGGGTCTCAGGGAATCACCAGACCGGGGCAAACAGTATGAGCCAGGTTGCTGGAGTCCCAGATATGGCACCCATCTGCCAGCCCCATGGGGAAAGGGCTCACCAAAGGAACAAGAGCCTCTGCCAGCACATCCTTCTGGGAGAAAGATGCCTCTCCAGCCCTGGCCCAGATGCCAAACAACTCAGTTCTTCCCTGTATGTCTCTGGGGCCTTTCAAGCTGCCTCCCCCATGCTGGAGCCTGGAGGGAGAGAGTCTAAGTTTATACATGGACCCTTTAAGAGAAATAACCTGGGCGTCCAGCAGGCTCAGCCTCAGTTTCCACTAGTTTTTACAGCCAGAAGTGATGGGGAGTTATCTTCCTGGCACTGGAACCCTGGGCTGGGGAGCCTGGTGTGGGATGGGGACCCCCCATTCCTCAGGGAGGATCTTCATAGCTGAGGTGTCCCTCCTGATTTTTATCCGCCACACGTGAGCGTGGGACCAGCCCGTCCATGCCGCCGCCCCTCCTACTAGTCTCAATGTGGGGGGACTTCCATTCAGCCCGATTTCAGGTGGTTCTGAATGATGGTTGTTCTGTAGTTTAGTTGTAATTTTGATGTGCTTGTGGGAGGAGGCGATACTGCATTTACCTACGCCACTGTCTTGACTGGAAGTCCTCAAATATTTTAATTAGTTTCCTTGTACCAATGTGAATTTCTTAGCTCTGGCAAATGTAACATGGTGAAGTAAGATGTTAACATTAGGGGAAGCTGAGTGAAAGCTATAAGGGGAGTCTCTATACTATCTTTGTAACTTTTCTGTACACCAACAATTATTCTAAATTAAAGAGTCAAAAAAAAGTATACTTATCCTGCCTTAGAGCAGAAGTGGAAGAAATCTAACCATGCTTGGGAAAAGAGCATCCATGGCCCAGTGGTCCCTGCTATCTCTTGAACATTCTGGAACATAGAAGACCTTTTACATTTTCTACCATTCTCTGCCAACCCCCACCTTATCCAGGAAACCTCTTTATTTCCCTCTCTTGATGGTATTTCTCACAAGTCATTCAGCACCCATTTTTTTGAGCTCTCACTCTGTGTCAGGGGTTTTAAAGCCAAGTACCCTCCTTTTAGTAGCCCAGCAGAGCTCACTGGGCTGGACCAGGCCTCCAAGTGCATGCCCAGCTGCCCAGACTGACCCCTCTGCAGTTAGGAAACAGAAAGCCAAGAATGGAGGCAAGTGGGGGCCCAGACCCTGCATAGACCTGCATGGAATCTGCTGTCTTCGGGCTCAATCATCCTCACGGAGTCTGTGGCCAGCCAAGCAACTGCGAACTGTGCTAGGGAAATACTCCCTTTGAGGGAAGCTGTGGCCTTAGGGACCTGGAGTGGGACTCCAACAGCCAGTTCCTGCTTGAGTGACAACCTGGCCTTGGGAGCCCACTCTGCTGCCCTAGAATCTGCAGCAGCCAGATGAGGCCACCAGGAGCCAGCGTCCTTGCTTGAGAGGTTCACGTGTGTGGAGAGGTGACGGGGAGACAGAGGAGCTTGACGCCCTGTCCCCACTTCTCCCCCCCACACACACACACCCC